ACAAATATATAAATAAACAAAAATAAAAATAGAATATGCAGATAAATATACTAAATTTAATAGGAATGCCTTCAGTGATATGTTCTGTAAAACAATAATTTAGACTCCTATGTATAGATAATACAGTAAAGTCCCGCTAAGAAGACCAACAAATAGTACTTTTATATAAATATTAGAACGATCTGATATGCATTTTACTATACTTGTCATCAGTAGCAAAGAAAACCAATAACGCTTGTTGAACGGTTATTTATATAATCAGTCCATTTTGAATTGTCAGAAGTGGTATACTTACCAACAAATTTTAATAAGCGTCTAATCAATTCAGACTAGTCTATTTATAGACGACAATCAATGTGAACTCATTTAAAATTTCAGTCTAATTTTAGACCTACATAGGCGTAAAAATGTAACATCACATGGATATAGAACCAAATTCTGGATAATGAAGCAGATATGTTAATTACAAGAGGCAAAGACACGTGATATACAATATAAGACCTTGCACGATAATTACATGTGTGTCAAGATTATAAATTATTTCTACGTTTGAAATATTCCTAGTGGTTAGTTTAGCGGAACTTAACTGTATTTTAAATAACTCTCAAATGAATGTTCTCTTACCACATATATACTATATCGAGCGTAAGTGAATAAATTGACATACGATCATATTTGACAAAAAAGACGCTAGTACGTGCATATCTCATCAAAATTAAATATAGAAATAGAATTTAACTTAGTTCCTTTTCAGTAAATAAAATATGTTTTACTTTAGCTTCTGAAAAATAAATAACCTATACAATAGTTTACAAAATGCAGTAAATATGTTGCGACATTATATATTAGCAAATTTGTTTTTGTTTTAAATTTTTTAAAGCATATGAAACAATAAGGTTAAAAATATATATGCCCGTTTAATCCTTAATTCCAAAGCTGTTTTATAATTTAATGCTACTTTTGAAAACTGAATACACATTGGCTTTCAAAACAAACAAAAAATGGGTGGGGTATCTATGTTTTAAATTTCATTTGTCATGTTTTGAAGATTAAATATCAAAATATGTTTATCCATCCATATTGCACTTGTGGGAGGTGTTTTTTATAGATCAAAACATTCTAAAATCATTTTAAAAGGATATGAGAAAATGTTGTATCGATTTTTCTTTGATTCGTGACTATGAAACCATTCTAGATGAATGAATTTGTTTGCTAATTGCTTTTTTACATTTAAGAAATATATCAATATAGATCTATATCTTATATTAGCTATTGATCCATACCCATTTGTTGTTTGTCTTTTCTTCTAATTATAGAAATATATAAGCATAGACATGTATGTGTAGGCCGCTTACCCCTACACGCCAATAAACTGAAAATTAAACACATCGTAAAAAACTTGTTATATAATGCTGACATTTCGAACTTAGAACTATTGCTATAATTAAAACATGTTGTTGTGTTGCGATCTTAAATGTTTAAGCCAATACTAGACAGCTGAATGGTTTTCTAAAGGAAGTATGTCTTCTAATGTCAATGAGCATGCGTCATCCCCTGACGTCATTTCCGCTCCTACTTCCGGAAACATAAGTTTGATTGCTCGTATTACACACGCTGGAATGGCCCACTTCGTCTGCCTCTGAAGCACCTCGCCGCTGTGAAGCCAGCAAAGAAACTGTCGGGTCGCCATAAGTCGACACTTGCTGAAATTAAACAAAGGAACCCAACTAGCTGTGGGCTATTAGCAACAGGAAAAATACAGTACAAAATGTACACATCCATGCTCGATCCACACTCTCCGTAACAAGGAATTCACTTTAACGTCACTATTTCCTCGTTATGACGTCAGTATTTACGTCATCAGCTACAAATTGCAAGGTAGCAAATTAAGATCTGCAAAACTCTGGTTGATTAGAAAGGAATTAAAATTACAAAAAGTACATTGAGTAAGTTTCAGAATATAGTCAGTTTCAAAATATTACGTGTGATTTGATCACAGATGATGTCATAAAAGTTTTAACATATTTTTCTTTTTCTAAATTCCTGTACTGTTATGGCAAGGTGGAACAAACAAGGCGGTACAGTGTGTACCATAATCCCAAACTGTGTTCTTACTTTCTAAAATAGTTTTAACAAGATTGAGGTCCGAAACTGTGTTTTTACTTTCAAATAAAGTTTAATATAGATAGCTAGTTATATAAATTGGAGTAATTATTAATGCATTTCTAATAATTATAGTTTAAACAAGATGGTTGTCCGGAACTGGGTTTTTACTTTCAAATATAGTTTCAATATAGTGTCATTATTTGAATCAATTTTAATAAATGATATGAAATAGTATACTTGTAAATGAGCTACTTGCTCAATTGGATATAGTTTTGATTAGCTATGAAACGATTTACTTCAAATTAAAGAAATTAATAAAACCCAAACATAAAATTAAGGAAATTTAGTTTTTTAAAGAATTTATTTTAGTTCGATTGTGTTGAAAACTATAAGCTTATCAAAAAACACTCTCAAATCCGTTCCTGGAACCAACCAGTACTCAGCAATGAGTGTAAAGTTTCTTGCTAATTTAGGAATCAACGGCTTCCCTGATGAAGTTTTAAGCAATCTCTTTGATAACTAGTCCGACGCGTTAATCACTTGGCCATACCGCCACTCTTAACTCAAGAAATTTAATGAATTCAATCAAACTATCCAAAACTGTGTCCGTCTTATGTTATAGGCGTTACACTTAAGTTAATGCAAATAATTATATTTTTGCAATATTTTAGTACAAAAATATCTGCGCCATTAGAGTTATAAAATTAAAAGGAGCACGGATTTTATTGCTACCATTTCTTTGTAATAAATAAGTTAATATATTTAATAAACAATTTTATTTGACGCTACAGGCAACATTTTACTACAGTGAAAACATAAATTAATATGAAAGACTCTCATAATGTATACTATTCATAAAAAAACTTGATTTTATTGAAAATGATTTGTAATTGTCATTTTTGTATGACGATGATTGAAGGCGAATATCACTACAATGAAACAATCCCATTTTCAATGAAATGACGTCACACTCACTGACACTATGAATTATACATGACACTTCTTTACGAATCATATCTCACAATCCATTGCGAATTATACATAACAAAAGTTGTCCGACGCTTTTGGAAATGACCCAATTACCAGTAACGTCTTATGCTGGGTTATGGCATTACATGTATATAATAGATATTGATTGTGAAGTAATGGAAAATTCCAAATCGGACAATACGCCTGATGAATTATTTGACATTCAAGGTCCCTGTATATCAATGAAACTTTGAGACTTTTTTTTATAAAAACGCAATTAATATATAGTATACCAAATTTATTTGTTTCATAAGCATCAAATATCTTAAATTTTTCATAAACTGACATTAAAATACCTTACACTAAGGTCATTTTATTGATAATAAAACAAAAATTAACCTTTTTGTAATGAAAAATCTTAACTTTAATGGTCCTTTATGACATTCAAAAACAGTAAAAAAAGTTATTTTCAAAGTAATGAAAGAAAAATACGCATTTTCTACGAAATAATTTTCACAAGAAGTCAATAATGTTATAAATCAAATTACAGTTTTTATAGTTATAAGTATGGAAACCTTGCTATGACAAAAGGTTTCTATGAATTACGTCATATTGCAATGGTAAATTATGTTGTATATATCTATTTGCGACTGCCAAACACTGTCTTATCTTTACTGCATAAAAAAGGAATCATTTTTGTCTTATCCGGACATATTCAATAATTGTAATTTGATATATATTCAAAAAATTTACAAAATTATATAAATGTATATAAATTGTGCACTTACTATGGCGTCAGTTGATATGGCGCGCTCCCTCGTTGCTTTTTAGCTAGCATTACGTGTATATACACAGTAAGTAACACTTGGGGGTTAAGAACAACGTCTTGAAAATCTTTTGTTGACGTAATACAGCGTTCCGCTTGCAGACGATCTTCAAGGCGTTCCTCTAACTTTTCTATATGACGACAGCAAACACGGTCGCTCACGTTCCGCTACGTCACATTGACCACATTTACACCATGTGCAACAGGTGCTGTTCATTGACGGTCGAGTTCGTTCGATTAACAGGTTTCCCTCAAAACTGGAATCTTCCGTCTGCAAACATGGTTTCTCCAATCGTATTTAGTGCAAGTGGACGCAAAAATTACAAAGCAAGTACGCAAAAAACGACGCCATTGTTTCAAAACAATTTTTGCTTTTTGGTCTTTGACAATTTCACTCACGGCCAGCAACTCTTAAAATGTGTTGCAGTTATTCAAAAATGTTTAACAATGTAACCATTGTTAAAGCATTCGATATCAGACCATTTGTATAATAACAGCGTAAAAAGGCAATATTAAATGTTCGTTATAGTTCGAGTATCCAAAATCACAATAGGCCTTATTAACACAGAAAACTAAAAAACCTGAACTCTCTCAGAATCTAAATTCAGATTGATCAGTTTTATTATAGTATCATATAACATTCTAATTAGATTTTTCAATATAGCATTTTTAAAAAAAAAATATTGAATTTATTTTGTTAAAAATAGAAAAAAAAAAACAAATTTTTTTAATTTTAATGTAAATATACTTTTTACGTAAAGGGAAAACTTGTTTTTCAGTTGCATAGGGGAATTCGGGCCCTTGCCAAAATTATTTTTACTTTAATATATGAAATGAAAGAAAACAACAATTTTTATGTGCCTAATGTTCCGAAAAAAAATTTGCTTTTTCTTCTCTTTTTTACCCCAGAATACAAAAATTTACACATTTTAACCGTAAACTTTGTTTAAAAATTTTAAGAATGCCTTAAATCTCACTTTGCACCCCATTTTTTAATTTTTAAAACTTTTAAAAAAATCTTTTGCAAGAAATTGCAACTTATTAGCAAGTTCCTTCCATACAACTGAAAGCTCATTTTATGAAATGAATAAAAACATACTCGTGCAAGGCTAAGGTTACTGGCCGCTTGTTTCTTCATTTTTCGTTCTCCCTCTATCGTTCCTAACATTATATCTTCCCATTTCACGCGCCAGTTCATTTCAGCTAGCTCCGCCTCCAGCTTGATATGCCTGAAACAATATAGGTTATAGTCAAGCATTTCTTAAAGGGACTTCCCTGATCTTTTTGACATGACGGGCCTGGAAATAAGTTTATGAGATTAATGTTTCATTTGATGTAGGTTTAGACCAATTACTTGAGTGCAATATTACAGATCATCCGCTATTTTACCAAATATTGAAAAGAAATCGGACTAAAAATAGCAAATTATTACGATTATTTTCATTTTATTTCTGAGTATATTTCATAATCATTTTTTGCTTATTGTCTGTGCCGAAGCTTATTTACGTAAGAAATTCAATTTTTATTTTATTTCTTTTTGGACCTCGGGGGGGGTTCCCTTTTTAACGCATTTTTAAACTCTTCCAAATAGCAAAAACCCCTTTTAAAAACGGGATAAAATTTGGGTTTTTTAAAATTAAAAGGTTTTCAAGGGGAAGTACTTTTTTACAAGACTTTTCCATCTAAATAATTCCTCCCGAGGAATCCAAAATGGGTTAAAATCAAAATTTATCTTCCAAAAAACACCCAAATGACAATATAAGGGACCAAATTTTGATAATAGTAATTCAATGAGTATTTGATACAATGTAAGCGCTCTCCGCGCGAGGATGATAACGCTTCTTCGTGACGGGCATTAAATTTGACTGTGCCAAAGTTGCATCCGGGGAACTGTAATGTTGTTATGACGACAGTTATCGACTTAATTCTCGCTCGTGACGAAAAGCAGACGAATTAATACCTCCTTTGTGAAGAACTCCAATTACCGCGAAAGACAATGACTTTATAAAAGGACAGAAATTAGTATGTAGTAGAAGTTGTAAATATACATGTATATGCCCAAACTTGTCATTTTCTACTTTCATAGCTATTGGCCAGAAAAATATAGATTACATTGATTTTGAAAAACAAATGCATGAAAAGATATAGTTGGTGTCACCGATCTAGATTACAGTAAAAACGTTAAAGAAGTCATACGGGTGAAGGGAAACAAATTTAATTAAAATAGCCAAAATCGTAAAGTAATAATAATAATAATGATAATAATAATAATGATAATAATAATATAAATAATGATAATAATAAAATTAATCATCATCATCATCATCATCATTATCATAAAACAAACAAAACAAAAAGCATGTACGGTAGAACCGCAGAACTTTTATGACGAGTACACACGGAGATAACCGACCACTGCCGAAACTAATGCGTTGACCAGAATTTATTTTTAAAACAAAATATAAAAGACGTCCGTACTTATCAGTAATAAGCCATCAAAATGCCGAGAAATATATCTAAATATAGAGATACAAAATTTTCCTTAAGAATCTATAATTGCTTTACGTCTTACTGACATATATTTTTTCTCGTTTACTTTTCCCGTTTCCGCATTTACGGGCAATCTACAGGTTAAAGTTTTGCAGACAAACGCACAATTTGTCCTTTTAAAAATTTTATTATTGTTGACATAAATTTTATTTATTTTAAACCAAGACAATAAATTAAAACCCCCATTTTAATTTTTATGAAGGGATATCCCATATAAAACTGGCCAACGTTCGTTCATCTTCTTTAATATGTATTGACACCTAGACGGGCTTTCTAATATTCTAAGATTATCTTCAAACAATATTAAACTTGTGCCTGTGCAGTCTCGAATTGTTTTTCTTTATTTGACAGCCAAATTCAGATGGTTTTATATTACATAAACAGAAATGTATTGCACATATAGGTTGTTTTTTTTTGTGCACTGTGAATATGCAATCACACCCCCCAAAGTCCCGCAGAAAAGGGAGCTTATTGGCTTGATGACAAGCAACCACGCATTTCAACCCCACAGAAAAACGAGATCTTTTGGCTTGAGGACAATCAAACCTCGTCCATCCGGTAAAGACTCCCTTCTGCCGGGAACGATTAATAGTACATGTAAAACGGTATTAAACTATATCCCAAGCTATTTTTGGTGCAAAACTTAAAACAATTGCATTAACCCAATAGTTAAGAAGGCATTTTGAAAGTACTAGTATTCAACATTTGTAGTATTTCCTGATACCAACTGCGTCACTTTAGAAGAAACGGTAGAGGGGAGAGGGATGGGGTATGTTGCGAAAGGAACGGTATTACAATTAACTGGGGTATAATCGTGCAATATATTTTGCCTTTTTTTAAAGAAAAGAAAACCCCTTAAATTATTTTGTCCATCTAGTTATATTTGTTTTAAATGTAATTCCTACTATTTCTCGAATAACTACTTCTTTAAAAGACGCCCAGGACGACTTAAAATCTGCCACAATATGCTTGAATGATAATAAGTACCAATAAAAAGAAAATACTGAAATAAAGAAATTTCATTGAATCTGTAAAATGCTGAAACATTTCACGCTAACTTAAATGATAAAACATATTATAAAACTATACACAAATAAATGATAAGTTTATAGCAATGTTGCACAAAGCAAGCTCTTGAACAACAAAATAACAACAACAACAACAATCAACAATAATTTATAGAAAGATGTTTTCATAAATGATCAAAGGAGATTGTTCAAGTTTTCATTAACGCTGAATACAATATGTTAGAACACAATTGTCCTTTTAAATTGAAAGAAAATGATAAAAAGCTTATTAAAATAATATTGAACTGTATATATATTATACAGTTTATATATAAAAGTACATAATGAAAGTTAATAAAGAATTAATAATGCTACATTATACGATACAATGCAATATGTGGTTTATACGACTAATAAGTATTTCTTTATTTGAAAGCAATCTAATACAATGACATAAGCTAAAATGAATCCAAACACGTGGCGGGCGGTGATTGGTTGCTTTGAGTTTTTTTGTAAGAATGCAAAGTTCAATACGTGTATCTACGGTGGCCGAGTTATATCCATTGCATCTTGTTGTCTTTTCGATATCCAACAAAATAGAGAGAATTAAAAACCTTAACAAAGTAAAAAAAAAAAACTGGAAAAATTAAAAATGTTGCAGGCTCGGTTTGTCTGAGGTTGTTCATGGGCGGAACTGGAAAGTGCAAGTTACCGTCCACGCCCCCTAGCACCGACATAAGCAAAATTCAACAAGCCATTCATGTTATATTATTTTCCCGCATAGCGCCTTGTTTTGTTACGCAGCGCTTGTTACTTCCGGTCGCCATTCAACCAGTTAAAATACAACAAAAATTGGCTTTAATAATCCTCATTAGAAAAAGGAAGCCAGTTGTACACACAAATTTGATATACTCAATCATCTTTCAAAGGCGGAAAGAAGTGCAGTGAAAATAGTTTATAAACTATAAAAAATATGACAAGAAACCTGTGTTATTAAAATATATTTACAAATATTGTTACAATTCTCCGAGCCGATATCACAACAATATGGATTAGTTTTCGCCATTAAGACGATAATCTTAAGAAACAAATAAACGCTTCGAAGACAGTAGTCGCCTCGAAGACGGTAATCGTCATAAAGACGGTTATTGTCACTTAGACGGTTATCGTCACCAAGACGATAATCGCCTCAAAGCCGTTAAGCGTCGTGAAGAGTTAGCAGAACAGAACAGAACAGAACAGATACTTTATTAAGATTTGTACATAGTACATCATCTATAATACAATATTTTTACAAACATAACGTCAATATAATGGTAATTGCAATCATGACATTTTCAAAATTCTTTATGCTTAATTTATCTAGTAACAAGAAAATTAAATGATAAATATGTATATACTACGAACTAAAAAAGCAAAGATATACGAAAAGGAGAATGAGCTATCATGATGTTTAACGCTCAACATTTAACAGTGTGTTTCTCAAAGCAAGTGCTTCTTTAACAAATTTGATAACTTGAATTAATCATATTTATTATTTGAGTTCATTAATTGTTTAAAAATTTATAAACTGATGGGTTTCTGGCTATATTTAATTTCAAATATTTTTTTCTTAACTCTGAATTAACAACGACATATACAAACAAAATGAAATTCATCTTCAATGTCTGAGGTATTACAGCATAAACAATATCTTTCTTCTCTAAACGATTCTATTTCTAGAATATCTGCCAGTTTGTATTCTCAGAGACAAAGTACTCATTCTTAATCTACAGAAATAACATCTTAAACATCTTGGCAAGATATCCAAATAAAGTTCATACTCAAAACTACATTTAACATTTTTGTACATATACAATACAGAACTATTATCTAAAGTAGCATACCATTCCTGTTTAAAAGAATCAATAACACGACTTCTAAATTCAAATAAAAATATTTTTTGTCCAATAATATTAACATTATCAAATACATATGAAAATCCATAATCATTCAAAAGCTTCTTTTACATTCGAAACCCAATTTTTATGACCATTGTTGCTATCATCTAGAGCTTGATTATATACTGTCTTAAGGATTATGTTATCAGTTCTACAATTTTAACCAGTATTTTTATTATCCTTACAAACCTATGAATATATAAGGGGTATCTTCCCAGTTCGCCATATACACTAGCATTACAAGTGTTAGGTTGAACTCTTAATAACCTTTTACAAAATTTTAAATGTATTCTTTCTAGCTCTTTAGACTTAGTATATCCCCAGATTTCACATGAATAATTTAATATCGATGAAACAAATGAATCAAATAACTGACATAAATGTTCTGGGAGAAAGGTCAAATTTTTTCAATTTACAAAGAAGAACATTCATTGCCTTTAAAGCTTTACCACTCAAATATTCCTGATTTAATGTAAAATTGCCCGTATAATTAAAAACTGTCCCAAGATAATTAAAATCATTAACTACTTCAATATTTTGGCCATTATAGTTCCATTGCTCAGTTGGTAAAATACGACCTCTTTTTCTAAATACCATTATTTTAGTTTTTGTTGTATTTACTTTAAGGCCACAGTTGTTACAATATAAATACAAAAGATCTAAAAGTTCCTGTATTTCCTCAGGGCTTTTGCCTATAATTGCCATATCATCTGCAAAAAGTAAAAGTATTAAAACAATATCATCTAATATTAAAACCTGAGTCGGGATTGTTTTGAAGATACAATTCAATGTCTTCTACAAAAATTGAAAATAGTAGAGGTGACATTACCTCCCCTTGACGGAGACCAACAGCATATTGGAAATATTCAGAATAAGTTGAACAAAGTTTGACACAAGACTTAATTTTCTGGTACATATCACGAACAATTCTTAATAATTTACCCTGTATTCCAAAATTATACATTTTTAACCATAAACCATTTCTATCAATAGAATCAAAACACTTCATCATATCAACAAATATAACATATAATCTTTTATTTTCATTCAAATATTTTTCAACTAATGACATAAGTACAAATATAGCATCTACAGTAGACCTTCCTTTACGGAATCGAATTGAGCATCCGAAATAGTGTTATGTTCGTTACAAAATTTCTCAATTCGATTATTAATAACAGTAGTAAACAATTTTGACATACAACTAACAAGAGTAATACCTCTGTAATTATTTACGTCATCGTGACAAACCTTTTTGTGTAAAGGGATTATAATACCCTCTGTCCATTTATCGGGGAAATAACCCGAATCTAAAATACCATTAAATAAATCACAGATATGAGCTGATAAAATATCTATACTTTCAATAAAAATACTCGTTTAATAAGCAGTCGCTACCATACGCTTTTTTACGCTTTAGTGATTTTACAGCAGTTAAAATTTCACAAACTGTAATTGGCTGATCTAATTCTGGAAAAATTTCATTTGACTTCATAAAATCATTATTATTACAAAACTGATTAGCCTTCCTTCATTGCAACAAGCAAATAAGTCGTTACTTATTTAGAAAAATATTCTTTAAATTGTTCTATCGTTATATTTTTTTCAAAATTGTTCGATTTCTTTTTAAAAATATTTCCAAAAATCTCTAGGTTTACCTTTCTTTAAATTTTCTATCTCAGACATTTTCTTTCTGTAATGTAAGCTTTTCTTTTTTCTAACAATACTTTTATAAAATGACTTATTTTCAACACAACCTTATTCTACAATTATCTGTCTTTGAGATATTAAACATCCTTAAAGATTCTAAATACTTATTACGTGCATTCCTACATTCTATATCAAACCAATCAGCGTGTTTAATACAACTTTCTTCTTCAAAACAATGAACATTTTTAAACTGACATGTTTTTGAAAATAATGGATCACTAACATTTCGTAATACATCTGTAAAACTATTAAGTGCATTATTGACAGATTGTCGACTGTTATTTTCTAAATCATTAACAATATTATTAAATAGAGGTAAATTAGCAATGACTCCTGATCTAAACTGTTGTTTATATAAATCATTCCATTTGTATTTAATTTCTGTAAATATAATATCTTTATCAGGTGTATTGTTGCATGATATTTTTCAATTGTAAGGGGGCATGATCGCTCCATTCATTGAATGACAATATACTAAAATTATTGATCAGTGAAAAATTGCGTTCGTTACATAATAAATAGTCTATAACAGATGCCCCGTTATGCGAAATAAAAGTATGATGATTAGTGTCCCCGATACGACCGTTAACTATTCGTGAACAAGATGATTTACAAAGATCTAATAATCTTATACCATGGCTGTTTATGTTTACAGTCTATTGAGGCCCTGCATGAACTATTATCGGGGTCATAATCTATATCATCAAAAACATTATTCAAAGTATCATGTATAATAAAATCATGTTTATTTCCTACTCTACTATTGAAATCTCCTAGAATGTACACAGCCCCTAAATTGTCGTATAAAAATATATCATTTTCTAATAAATCAAACAAATCAACATTTAAAGTATTGTACGCAGGTGAGTCTGCACCCCATATATATACACCACACACATAAATATCTTCTTTAGTATTGAAAAAATTACGATCAAGTTTAAGCCAAATGATTGTATCATGGTGATTTTTATTACTTGTATACCATCTTTTAAATGCTCTTTAAAATACAAAATAACCCCACCACTGCATCTTCGCGCACCCCTATTTTGAAATTTTTATAAAACAATTGAATGAAATAACCCATTTAAAGAAATATTACTACTAGAATTTGTCCAAGATTCATACAAAAAACATATATCGTGACTTGAAATGATATTTACAAAGTCTTTATGAGTCTTTTTGTCAGATGTTAATCCATGCACGTTCCATGACAAGATAGCTAGCTCACCTCCGGCGCATCCCTACTCCCGGACAGGCTTACCGTCGATGAACAGCGTATCATATGCAAATCCATGACCTTTTCCCATTCTCTCTGGCGGCCTTTCATTCTTGGCACTAGTCTCCTACGCTTTTCAATCACTTCCTGTGGAAATTGCTCGTACATTTTATAAGGTGTGTCATTCAAATGTTTCCACTGTCTTCTAATTAGCTCGCGGTCTTTAAAAAATGTAAATTTGGCAACAATAGTCCGGGTTTTCCCAGGTATGGGCTGACCTGGTGATCTGTGAACACGTTCGAGGCGGATATTGTCAGCTGTCTCCTTGGCAACCTTCAAGGCTTCCATGAGGTGTTTCCGTAATTTACGTTCGGTCACTTCCGTTTGCTCATTGCCGCTAGAGTTGTCTTCAGGTACATTGGTGAAGATAAGATTGTTCCTCATTGACTGAGATTTGAGATAAGACACCTCCTCTTAATACTGTCACGAGCCTTTTCAAGTTCATCTACTTTTCCCGCTAATATGGCTGAACTTATGTCTGTGCTGTCAATCTTATCCTCCATTTTAGTCACTCGCTCTTCGACCTTCTTTGCCCTATCATCAATAGCCACCCATATTGATTTAAGCTCTTTTTCAAAACTAGAAATTTGTTTCTCAATCTGGTCAAAAGCACTAAGTTTTTTCTCTACTGCACCTAATCTGTCACTTATTCCATTTAAACATTTCATAATATCCTTGTTTGTTGGTTGTTTTTCATTGGACGCCATTTTCTCGAAAACTTTTACTTTTGAATTTATGTCAAATACACTATTATCAGAGTTATCATCATATAAAACGGAATGAGTCTGGTTAAGTATGTCGCTCACAGAAATATTAATATCTAAATCACCAGACGGGCCTCTTTGTTTAGATACCTTTCTATTGTTGATTTCTTCAACGTCAGTTCCACTGCTATTTCTATTCTTCCGTTTTTTATTTCCCATACTATATAAACTTTACTTATTTATATCCATTTTCAGCTATAAATCAAATCCAAAATCACTAGAAAAACTACTTTAAATCCTTTTTTTTCACAAATTTTTAACCGTTTTCAAAAAAGTGCTACCATTTTGACGCATGCGCATTATAATCGCCATGGATATAATTGTCGTCACGAATACAACAGATAATAAGGCTGTTCAGAACTTCTTAGAGGACAGAAAAATTTCGACATGGTGTCTCTCAGTAAACTTTTGTCATCATATAAACAGCTCGAGTATGTCCCAAAATAAATTTTACAATGATTAAAAAATAATATTGCTTTAACATTAAATTCTCAGAAAAAGTATGAAAAAATGGGTTATGTTATTATAGTAGAATAATATCACAAAATATTTCACATAGCGTGAACTAGATGCACCGGCATTTATCTGTTCTATTCCTCGGAGAAGAATTGATTTTTTTTTCGCATTTTCGCAATTTAACGTTATTACATTTTCAAAATATGATGTCGTGCATCTATGTCGTGTATTAACATTTATAGGACGAATTAATTTAAATCCGCTTACATCATGCTTTTAATGTGCCAGAGCGTTTATTGTTTTGATTATGAAAAAGCCGGGCCGTCATTGCAAGTCACGTAAAAGACATTGCGCCCCGAAACAAGCATAATAAAAATCGTGCAACCAACGGTGCGTTTCCTCTTCCTTTTTTGTATACTTGTGTGCACAGTTTTTATGCAACAATAAGACACTCGAAGTAGCTACATTTCAACACTGATATTAGAATATACGGATCGTGTTTTTATGTATAATGACACCATTAACTCCACCTAGAAAATGGACTACACAAAGCCATGCCCTGAAAAAAATGGAAGTCCAACTCACCGATATATGAAGAATGCTGCAACTACCACTAACAACAGCAAAGATCCTAGGACAATAATCACTATGCCATACTCCGGAAATGGTTCTGAAAAAAAATCAAGTTAGATAAGCGTTTGATATTTAATGAATTCAAATGTTAAAGGTGATGAAACACAAAGGCTTAAACACGATACCTGTCGTTTCATATATAATACTGGTAGACTATTTGGTTTAACAGATTGAGTGCGATTTACGTCATTTTAAAACTATGGAATTGTATATCGTTATGACGCTAAATATGATATTTTTGCTGGAATGACTTGACCATAACGTCATCGTTAATCACGTGCGCGCTTTATATAGCAAATAGCTTAGTAAAGAACATATTGCAAGTGAAATATTATTGATAAAAGGATGAGCGGGTGGACATGTAATGAGAGAATCTCGCTTTAATCAATACGATTTTACTCAAACTTAGAGCAGCATGCGTCACCATGAGACAAACTATTTTATGTAATCAAATTTTTAAACAAAAATCAAACAAAAATTTACTTAGATGTTATCTAGATACATGTATTAAGTCAAGGTCTAGATACATGTAGTAAGTAAAAAGATTCAAGACACAGGTAATAATGTTCATGTTATGTGCGACTGATGACCATTTTTGCAGTATTTTCCAACCATATATATTACTAATGCGTTTGGGCATTTTTTTGGCATATTTTGATATCTTTTTAGTTATTAACATGGGTTGTAAGTGCCGCTTGGAAAGTGAAAATAAATTCAATGTTGACTTCACAATATTTCTAATATATTAATACATTTTCAAAATGTTCTTGACAAGTACCAGGAATCTGGAGGCGTGCTCCTTTAAAAGACCTTAAAATGCAGCATAACACCTTTTTCTATCAAACATTCATTTATTGAAATATATGATGGCAATTACATAATCCAGAAAGACATCAAAGTTCAATGTTTACAAGTATAAAAATGGGAGGGGGGGGGGGGGGGAAGAAAAAGGGGACCTTTTGAAAACAATTTCTAAACCACAAACAATTTTCCTGTACGTTATTGTTTCATCATTAAAAACTTGTTTTATGTTTAAGTGAAAAAAAAACCGTTCAATTTTTGGCAGAAAGTAATAACTTGTAAATTGAATTTGGTAACAAATTATTCTAAAGATGCAAATCAGAATTTTATATGTTTGTATAGAGCGAAAACGCGCTAAGCATTTGTTGTTGGTGGAAGAGAATTTATTTCCGCTGGTTCCAAACTGGCGGCATTCAAACCAGACGTGACTGGCTAGCGGATATAAAATACATGATGGATGATAATTTAGTGGCTTGTAACCTCACAAAAATGTAATAAATATACGAATTAACAATTCTCACAGACGCTTTACGTATAAATTACAGCATGGAAAATTCGTGAGTGACAAAACTGATGTGATTTTGACAGTTTAGTCTGAAAGAATGAAAATATTACATATTTAATGAAGTTCCTTCCCTTAAAAATCAATTATGCATTATACGGTCGCTATATGCTGTTAAAGCAAAACGCTAAAAATAGGAAATAAACATAAAGCTGTTTTTCTTGTCAAAACGATTGTTTCCAAAAGGATAAAATAGTGCAGGAAATTCATACGTTTCTGAGAAACGCCGTTTTACAACCCGATTAATAAGTCTACGCGCGAAAAAATACACCAAAACAACAAAAATAGTTACATCAATCATTAAGCTGTTGGTAATCATTTGCACCGGTTCAAAAATAATGACAGCACTCAAGAAATGTATTGAAAATAACAACATTTTCAGGGCTTAATGGGTCTTTCAAGTCGACCATTCATCCATTCATAGAAAAAAGAAGGAAAAAAATTAACACAAAAAACTGATGGATGGAAACCTTATGATGTAATGACATTTTAGAAAGAAATTATCTTTGGCGAAAATGTAATTGTGATCGATGGATATCATTAATGTAATGTAATGTAAAACGTACACATCAAATATGGCTTCATACATTACAAAATGTTTTCATTTATTATTTTAACAAGGGACATGTTTCAGACCTATAAATAAGAAAACAGCTACTGGAAAACCTGTATTTCGGAGGTTACTTAAATCAGGGCTTTCCTTAATACAAATCTTCCTGTATTATGACACTGCAATGCGTTTTTGTATTGAGCAGACTGTTACAATTTCTAAATTAAATAGTAATACTGATAATTGATTTTATGAATTAAATACAACTTACCGTCCGGAGGACACTTGGAATTATCAAAGCCGCATTTGGGTGTGTCTGGCGGGGCGTGGTCATAGTTCCCCGCCCATCGAATATGCTTTCCTGGAACCGGTTCATACTGTTTGGTGTTTCCAAAATAATTTGCGACCACCTTATGAATAAAGAGAGAGAGAAATCAGTAATATATTATCAGATTCTGTAGTTATAGATTAAGTCAATGTCTTAACAAACGTTAAAGTTTTCATAAAATTCATATGGGTTTTACGTAACAACGACACAGTATAGATCATATGGCGACGTTTAAGTTTAACTGGTGGAGGAAGACCACCGATGCCATTTCGTGAATTATTTCAGGCACGAACGGGCACCTGAGTAGAACCATCAACGTTCCGTGAGCTAGCTGGATAGATTCCACACATGAAATAATCCAAAGACGGGATTCGAACCCACAGCGGTGAGGGGCAAGTAGAATTAATATAGGCCCTATTATTAGTTTTACAGAAAAGCGTGTATTTAAAAAGAAATCATGATATAATGTAGGTTGGTTTCATCAAGATTTTACCTCAAATTCACCGGTCTCCGGATCCATGTCCAGCAATGAATAATCGGCATTTCTATCACCATTTGCATCTATCGACACGTTCCCTGTGATACCTAAAATAAACAAAATATACCTATATATTATATGCAACATTTATATAATTATGTAATTCATAAAAAAAATGCTGTGACTTTCCATGAAACAAGTTCACTGTTCTATGTAGCGAAGGACACTTTTATTGAAACATTTTTACCATTCTATGTATTGAAATACACTTTAATTGAAACTGGTCTCGAAAGACACTTTTATTGAAACAGGTTCACTTTTCTATGTCTTGAAATACACTTTTATTGAAACTGGTCTACTACTTTATGTCTCGAAAGACACTTTCATTGAAACTGGTTCACTATTCTATGTCTCGAAATACACTTTCATTGAAACTGGTTCACTATTCTATGTATTAAAAGACATTTTTATTGGAACATGTTCACTATTCTATGTCTCAAAATACACTTTCATTGAAACTGGTTCACTATTCTATGTATTGAAAGACACTTTTATTGGAACATGTTCACTATTCTATGTCTCAAAATACACTTTCATTGAAACTGGTTCACTATTCTATGTATTGAAAGACACTTTTATTGGAACATGTTCACTATTCTATCTCTCGAAATACACTTTCAGTGAAACTGGTTCACTATTCTATGTCTCGAAATACACTTTCATTGAAACTGGTTCACTATTCTATGTATTGAAAGACATTTTTATTGGAACATGTTCACTATTCTATGTCTCAAAATACACTTTCATTGAAACTGGTTCACTATTCTATGTATTGAAAGACACTTTTATTGGAACATGTTCACTATTCTATGTCTCAAAATACACTTTCATTGAAACTGGTTCACTATTCTATGTATTGAAAGACACTTTTATTGGAACATGTTCACTATTCTATCTCTCAAAATACACTTTCATTGAAACTGGTTCACTATTCTATGTATTGAAAGACACTTTCATTGAAACTGGTTCACTATTCTATCTCTCGAAATACACTTTCAGTGAAACTGGTTCACTATTCTATGTATTGAAAGACACTTTTATTGGAACATGTTCACTATTCTATGTCTCAAAAGACACTTTCATTGAAACTGGTTCACTATTCTATGTATTGAAAGACACTTTTATTGGAACATGTTCACTATTCTATGTCTCAAAAGACATTTTTATCGAATCAGGTTCACCATTTTATGTCTCGAAATCGCTTTTATTGAAACGAGTTCACTATTATATGTCTCGAAAGAGACTTTTATTGAAACTGGTTCACTATTCTATGTCTCGAAATGCACGTTTATTGAAACTAGTTCACCATAATATGTCTCGAAAGGCACTTTCGTTGAAGCAAGTTCACTTTAGAAATTTTCAAACAACTTAGTTTTATTTTTTAATTCATTCAAAACATTTATTGCGTCGGTTATTATGGCATATTCGTTTTTCTCTTCCTAAATTCAAGATACTTTAAAAACTTTTGAAGTCTTTTATAATTTTGTTTTGTGTTGAATTTGATAATGTAAACAGCAAAACAAAAAGTTAATGGGGGAAATTCTCAGTATCTTTATGAAGTTGTTTAAATGGGGCAACACTGAGAGAAAGATTTCCTCTTTATGTCTTCTCAGAAATATGTCAGGTTTTTGTTGATGTTTATTCAAATTCTTTAGATATCATTGCTATTTTGCGTTGACACTTTTTGTCATCTTGAAAGAGATATTGTCTTTTTTTATATTATTTTGTTTTATATGGCTCCATACTTGCTATATTTAATACAACCAATCAGGACGTTGTTCTATTTTTATTGTAGCTGTATTTTAATCACCTTCCTTCTCACTCCGCACCTTGTTTGTGATTAAAAAATATAGTACATCTCTATTGTATTTCCGACTGCAATAAATACAAGATTTAAAGCAAAAATGACCTATTGTTACAAATAAAGAAAAATATGTGTGACAATTATAGTTTATATATAATCGACACGCTGATTGGTGAGCGGATAAGAATAAAAATACAACAACAACTGTCAGCTATGGACACGTTTAATGCGGATGTTGAAACCACAAAGATTATTTATTTGGATTTCTCTATTACAAGTCCCATTATCAAGATTGGCGCAACATTATTATCGTGTTTTTTAATTAACAGATGCGTCTTATAACTGACGCATTTCTCAATCTGATTCAATTAAATCTTATTCAGATATACACCGTTGAGCGAAAGAAGTGTTACTGTTGATATTAATATAACAGAATGAATATTTATTACTTAACTTTTGACTAAATTGAAGTACAAGCCCGAAGTAAAGGATTAAAGGTCATGAGGAGTATATTGTCCGACTGCCATATTGGTATTTTTTTATACAAAACAATGACGTCATCATGGCAAAACACCCCTTCACGTGCCACAAATGTATTAAAAATAGAAGTTATGAGACCAGTCAAAAAAGGCGAGAGCGGCTTCGGCTCTATACGATATTATCCGAAACTAGTCGGTATTTACCGATTCATTTTTCGTGCTCCTTAAACATACAATGCAATCTAACTTTAATTTGTGAAGTACTCACTGTAGAAAACAGATCCTTGTTCTGTTTTCGTTCTATACAGAGACAAATAATCTTAATCTAAATCTGTAATTGACATGAGGGTAATTGACAACAGCCTCCGGGGCAAAAACACACAGCAGACTCTGCGCACTTTTACGAAAATGCAATTTAGTCCAAGCCATGAAATCATTCGGATTTTGTAAAGCAGAGCATCATCAGGTTATTTTTCGAAATCATTTTTTTTCAAATCAATGTGAACATTCACAATTATTTTTGGATTATAATCACTATTGTGAAATGATTCGTATTCATTTTTTACTATCTAGTTAACTACAACACTTTATGTTTTATCTAAAATCCAAGCAAACGTGGATGTTTTCTTGTGGAATCATATATTTTTTACAATAATAAAACATCTTTTTCATATTAATTCAAAAGTTAAGCATATTATATGTACGGTGAGTACACATAATCGTTAAGAAACTTTCACTATGTTTAAAGAAGACAATCTTTTATTTACAAAAAGGGACATGGCGACCTTAAACATAAGGTAATTTTGAGATTAGGCTGTTCTAGGACCAGCAAAATTGTCGAAGGTAAAAAAAGTGGATACAACATGCTTAAATCTTGCATTTGTACATTTATATATAACCCGCTTAAAATAAAATACATAAAAAGACATAACATTTATGTACTTTTGTATGTACTTTTATACATTGTTCTCCAGTTACTGATTTCTTTTGCCATAAAAGTGTTTTATATCTCAGACACAAACTAACTAAACTTATTTATTGAGCGTTATTGCGTCACAAGGGTCATTTAAATGCTAATCTTGCCGCAACAACTCAAGAAAATTGTCGAAAATACCATCTTTTCTTACAATTAATAGTGTCATATAATTGTTAGTGGCTCGTTGTTTGTAAATAACTTAATCTTGATTTGAAATGAATTTATTTCCACTTGCATTGAAAATGGTTTCGTATCTTTTGTATCTGATGTTAGAAAAAAAGGCGTCTTTACAAAGGTACAGACCGACTTCTGCAAAGCAATACCCTTTGGGAGACAAATATCAAGGTTGTTGCAAACAGGTGTTTCTCTAAAAGGATTAAATATCTATATAGTAAGAGGTCTTACTGTTGAAAAAAACTATGATTGTTATAAAGAGGTGGTTGATTTAGTAAGGGTCCATCTTTGGAGGTTTCACTGTATAATGTAAAATATTAGACAGGTTTTTTATTTTCTTATAATTAATAAACTGATGATAAACACCGATTTTAACAAGTTTTTTTTGGTCATATTTCGGCGGTTGATTCAACAAACCGGCTTTTTTCCGCATAACTAATCTGTTATTACCAATTTATTCGCAAGTGAACGACTACTAATCCCATATGATCTATGAGTTTGAAGACATTGATAGGAAAAAAAAATCTCTTTAATCACGGTTTTCTTGTTGATATAAAAAAGAGATCATATCATTAGTCCATGAACTAACTTATCAGAACGTTTATCGCAATAAAGTTATGTTCGTAATTATTCCAGTTGATAATTGCTAAAGATAATATGCATACATTTCCGAAAGACGTCTTGAAATCTAATGTTGATATCACAATTCTAAAGATAGTCTCTATTAAGGCTGTTAACAATTTTCTTTAAGATATTCTTACGCGACAAAAACGAGTTCTCGACTTTAAAATGATATCTTTACAACTTCGTGCTGTTTATCATTTAAGATAATCAGCCTGTGGTGTATGGTGGCCAGCTTGTGTTATGCACGATAACTTGTTTGCACGTGAATTGCTATTTCCCATAACCCTGTTATTTTTCTACCAAACTTGTTTACGTCATTTTGGATGCTTTTAGTAATTGAGGATACATAATTTTATAAAAAAACAATAAAAGCGCGAAACTTACAGACAATAACCGGTCCCCGATGTGCAAAAAATACAATTATCAGTCCCCGATGTGCAACAGAAATGAACATTTAAAAAATCAAATTCCTATGTATAGCTCCTTCCGGGTTAGTACTAGAACAACCTTTGCACGTTTTCCACTTCTTTTACGACATCGCATCTCTAGAGGATACACTTGTCTTTGCTTTAGCAAAAACATCATCTAAATTAGCGACAGTTATCAAATTAGCCAAATATAAAATCTATTCTGATTGGATTAGCTGTGTGCAAGTTTTTACCACATTTTAAAGGTACTAATTCGTACATAAAATAGGTCGTTAAATACATGCCATAAAAAAATCAATCTTTGATAAGATGGTACTTTCGTGAGCAAGACATATACTTCATGTTTTTTTAAGTTTCATGTTAATGTTTTAACCTCTGACGTTTTCTATTGTCGCTGTTCCTTGACAATTTCTAACCGTTCACCGCCTACCCTAAGCCAATCAAAATTGAAATATAATACCACCTGATAATAAAATGTTTGTTTTTTTGTGCACGACGACGCAGCCATCATAATAAGTTGACTTGTTTTTGAAACAGACGAGCAAACAATAAATAAAACAAG